ACTCAATGTCAGGCCAAAAAAGTGATTTAGAGAGACATGCTTGTGCTAACCACAGCTGTAGAGTGCAGCTGTGCAAAAGAAACAAAGTTACTTCAGGATAAAGGTAATGAAATAAACTGCACTCCGTCTTTGTTACACAATATTTTCATGATCTTGATTAAATAATCATTATTTCTCACTGAAATGGGATTAAACTGAAATTAATACAATTAGCTTGTGTCATTACAATCACAGGCTAAACTCTGATCTTTGTTCAACCTTCTTTCAGCTGAACGCACAAAAGAACGTCAAATTCATCGAGACCAACTGTTACGCAGGTCATTACGTCTTTACTTTGCTGGCAGATGGATACAAATTTGACACCGACACCTGGAAAAACATCAACTTTCAACAACAGGTTGGTTAAACAGCAGTAAATAAGACAAATAGTATTCTTTTTATTTGTAAGTTTCAATACTGCCTTCTATGAGGCTAGTACATTACAATCCTCCCATTGTTCAAAGTTTATGGATGGCTTGTGCGCTAATTCTTCTTGAAATATAACTGTAAGATGTACTAATTTGGTGAGAGTTGTTTTGGAAAGCTGTTGACAGCTGATACATGTTCAAATACAGGAAGCCATTTAACTGCCTTTGGCAGTCGTATGTGAATGAGGCCACCCACTTGAAACTGTTGTTGATGTCGTAGGAATAGTCTGCAATGAAAAAGCTAAAGAGCAGAAGGCATGCCATCAATTTGTCACAAAGAAACTCCCTCAGTAGAAGGGGATTCCTGGTCTTTGACACTCTGTATATTACTCATGATTCATAAAGGACGAACGATTACAGCCAATGTTTCCACACTGCAAAGAGCGTTCGGCCTTTTGCACTCAAGACAAGACTTTTTAAACAGCTGGCAATTCTCCCAATTTCCAACAATGGCGTTAGTGTGCAGTTTGGGATGTCTGCTGCTTGATAGGTTCTTTCAAGACTTTGAGTTACGAAACAGCCTGTTCTTTTTCTTCTTCTTTGGGTGCTATGACTCATCTTTTGCCCTACAGCTGTAATTATACAATTTCATCATTTTCATCCCGCCGACATGCAAGGTGGTGTACTGGTGTTGGAAGCAAGTGGTTTTAAATATAAAACATTCAAATTACTTGTTTTCTTTCTTTTCCTGTAGGTAAAGAAAACTAATATAGGCTGGAGTTTGGGCTACATGCTGAGTATGTCCAACATGATTCCTTCCGAAGTGAAGAAAATCCCTCCTATGTCAAACCCCGTGTTTGCCGGCCTCATCTTTCTATTTTCGGCGCTAACAATTATGACTGCCGTCTTAGTTTTCATCATCTTCATTCGCACCTGCTACTGAGAACGTAGGTTACAGAGGAAATCACTGGCTATTGAAAGGCCTGGGAACTGCTGTAATTCTGCAAGAGGTTCGGAGAATCCTACAGTTGCATGTGCCAAGACGCCTGGACGTTAACAATCAAATGTGTTATTATTCAGGTTGAGACATGAACTAGCTTTTAGTTAAAAAAAAACAAACAAAACTGAAGAGCCTCAAAATCAATGCAGTACGTTGTGCTGGCATCTTTGAGGGTTTTAGCTTCAGATAAAATATGTAAAAGCAGCTTTAAAAAGCATTAGACCACTCTTCATTCTCTACCTCAGGGAATCTTACAAAAATTAATGTACTTTTTTTTTTTAATTTAGTTGACTGCGCTCAACAAAATAGTGATAGTGTTTGTCTAAATCGCACAAAAATATAAGAGCATCCATCAGTCTCCATGTGCTTGTTCTTGTTGTGCAATTCCCAAAATGAGTCGAACGCCCGCTTTAGACCAGAGCATGAGTTACTGTTTCTTTCCCTGCATTTTACATGTTATAGCACTGAAAATGGTTGCAAATTGTTGTACTGTAGCTTTAATGTATTGTTTTATATTGTGTATGGTCTTGCCAAACTTTAAGCGCACAACTATAGCTTTTTTTGAATTAACATTTCCCTAATAAATGATGCCATTGTCTCATTATTTTCATATCAGTTTAAAATTATTGACATACAACCTACTTAACTAATTTGGTCATCACAGAAAGTCATTCAGTGCTACAGCAGTTCTACGTGCTTCTCTTGATTTAACTAAATGCATCATAGTCGTATATTGCTGCAGTGAGTTATAAAAGGCTTGCATTCTGAGCAAAGTATTGTTGGATAGTTGTACACAAGTGGTTCATTCAGTTGTATAAATGGAGCAGTTGGGAAAAGAAAAATTAAGCCCTGTTAGCAATGACAATCCATTAGTGGTGAAGCACATGGATGGATGGATGGACTTGAAGCAGAGACACTGTTTTTACATCCTGCTGATTCAGCTGGTAGATGAAACTGGCAACTGTTACAAAGTAATATTTTGGTACTTTCCTGGTTATTTATTATTTCTTTATAAAGAAAAGATGAATAAAAATAAAGATTTCATGACAGTAATTTGTTCACAGGAACAGCAAGTATGATGTATGACTAAACTGCATGAATAAAACTGTCTCTTGACATTTTGTTGTCATTGCACTGGAGAAAATGATGCATGATTGTCATTTGATGCAGACTGCTTGCACCGTTTCTGCTTTGGCGATAATGAGCTCTCTTGTCAGTACTGTATGCAATAAACTTCTCAACTAACTGCATCTTTTGGAGCTGTAGTTTCATAATCTCGCTTGGTGAAACTAAACGCTTAAACGTTTTTAATCCTTTACAGCAGTTAAAACCATTTTGCGTGTGTGAACTTAACTTGGTCACTTACTAAAATTGCACACGTGCACACCAATGGACTTTCAGTCCTTTCCTTCTACAGAAAACAATAGCGCACTCCAGTGGTAGTGTGTTGTTCCTGCAGAATATCCAGGACGAGTTCATTTTTGTTATTTTTTATTGAAAGTTTCGACTAAAAAGAAAATAAAACAAAGAAACAAACAAAAAGACACATCTGAAGCTACAGGAATATCCACTGGTTCTACAGACACTCTCAAAAATCACAATTTTAAAGACATGGGGGGCATGTGACCAAGCAAATAAAAAAAATAGCTACAGTGGGGCAAAAAAGTATTTAGTCAGCCACCGATTGTGCAAGTTCCCCCACCTAAAATGATGACAGAGGTCAGTAATTTGCACCAGAGGTACACTTCAACTGAGAGAGACAGAATGTGAAAAAAAAAAAAAAAAAAAAAAATCCATGAATCCACATGGTAGGATTTGTAAAGAATTTATTCGTAAATCAGGGTGGAAAATAAGTATTTGGTCAATAACAAAGATACAACTCAATACTTTGTAACATAACCTTTGTTGGCAATAACAGAGGTCAAACGTTTACTATAGGTCTTTACCAGGTTTGCACACACAGTAGCTGGTATTTTGGCCCATTCCTCCATGCAGATCTTCTCGAGAGCAGTGATGTTTTGGGGCTGTCGCCGAGCAACACGGACTTTCAACTCCCGCCACAGATTTTCTATGGGGTTGAGGTCTGGAGACTGGCTAGACCACTCCAGGACTTTCAAATGCTTCTTACGGAGCCACTCCTTTATTGCCCGGGCCGTGTGTTTTGGATCATTGTCATGTTGGAAGACCCAGCCTCGTTTCATCTTCAAAGTTCTCACTGATGGAAGGAGGTTTTGGCTCAAAATCTCACGATACATGGCCCCATTCATTCTGTCCTTAACACGGATCAGTCGTCCTGTCCCCTTGGCAGAAAAACAGCCCCATAGCATGATGTTTCCACCCCCATGCTTCACAGTAGGTATGGTGTTCTTGGGATGCAACTCAGTATTCTTCTTCCTCCAAACACGACGAGTTGAGTTTATACCAAAAAGTTCTACTTTGGTTTCATCTGACCACATGACATTCTCCCAATCCTCTGCTGTATCATCCATGTGCTCTCTGGCAAACTTCAGACGGGCCTGGACATGCACTGGCTTCAGCAGCGGAACACGTCTGGCACTGTGGGATTTGATTCCCTGCCGTTGTAGTGTGTTACTGATGGTGACCTTTGTTACTTTGGTCCCAGCTCTCTGCAGGTCATTCACCAGGTCCCCCCGTGTGGTTCTGGGATCTTTGCTCACCGTTCTCATGATCATTTTGACCCCACGGGATGAGATCTTGCGTGGAGCCCCAGATCGAGGGAGATTATCAGTGGTCTTGTATGTCTTCCATTTTCTGATGATTGCTCCCACAGTTGATTTTTTCACACCAAGCTGCTTGCCTATTGTAGATTCACTCTTCCCAGTCTGGTGCAGGTCTACAATACTTTTCCTGGTGTCCTTCGAAAGCTCTTTGGTCTTGGCCATGGCGGAGTTTGGAGTCTGACTGTTTGAGGCTGTGGACAGGTGTCTTTTATACAGATGATGAGTTCAAACAGGTGCCATTCATACAGGTAACGAGTGGGGGACAGAAAAGCTTCTTACAGAAGACGTTACAGGTCTGTGAGAGCCAGAGATTTTCCTTGTTTGAGGTGACCAAATACTTATTTTCCACCCTGATTTACGAATAAATTCTTTACAAATCCTACCATGTGGATTCATGGATTTTTTTTTCACATTCTGTCTCTCACAGTTGAAGTGTACCTCTGGTGCAAATTACTGACCTCTGTCATCATTTTAAGTGGGGGAACTTGCACAATCGGTGGCTGACTAAATACTTTTTTGCCCCACTGTAAGTTACTTCTGTTGCATCTTCTTGTACACACCTGTACAAAAAAAAGATCTTATAAATATTACTTTTGATTTTGAGTTCTCTCTTTCACTCCCTACCCCTGTTTATTTTAGAGCTTTCTATCCATTTGATTTTGGTTAAACCAATTTTGTTTTCTCCTATGTCCATTTGTTTCTTGTGTCTCTCCTTAGCTTCCTTTCATTGGTGGAAAGTCAAGGCGTGTGAGTCTTCGAAGGCGTGACCTCAGAACCAGTGCGAGCCAGTTAAAGTTCATCTTAAGTTTTCTTCTGTTCTCAACCGATATTCTCTAGGCACAATAATGCACGTTTGTGTTTCTTTCATCTTTATTCTGCTTAAAATGATCAATTACAGTCACTCTGGAGGTGCAAATATTCCACGGAGACCCAACAGAAGACAACCTCAATCCCCAATACTGAAAAGTGTTTAGCAGCTCACACATAATCATCAAAAAGAGAAAAAAAAACCAAAAGTAAAGGCAACATAAAAGTAATTCTCCTTATTTTTTTTTAGGAGAATATATATAAGCTGAAATCATTTCGTTCAACAGGAATGCCCTTTCCTCTCACAGAGATCATTGACCTGCTCATATTTTCAGTGGCTTGTGTTTGGCAAGAACGAGACAAAACAGTGAGTTGGACTTAGATTATGCAAAACAATGACATCTGTCATATTTTGGGAAGCATTCATCGCGAGCTATGCCGTCTGGGCGTTGTTATGTAAGGTCAGTCGATGAGGCCTCGGCAGGATGTCGTTGGGTGTCTAATAAAAAGTAGCTTTTTCACCAGGATTCCACAGGGTTTTAGATGCGGTGGTAGTTTGATCACATGACGCACAAAACATCTCGTCCCATTGAGGCAAATGTGCTAAAGGACCAACTGCATGCTCTCATTCACTGATCATTTCACACAGCAACAGCTTGACAAAAACCAAAAAGCAGATTCAAAGTGGAAAAAATTAAGAAAAAGCAACAGGAAGATCTCTTTACAACTTAGTTTCTTCATCTTTGGTATAAAATATGCCACCCGCGGGCTGTATTTTTGTTCAACAGTTAAGAAAGACTCAAGAAACTGTCAACAGTTTTACTAAAACTATTGCTTTTTGCACATTTAAAAATCCTAGCTTTTTTTTCTCTGCTTTTTCTCAAAGTCAGAAATGTTCCTTTTTCTTTTTGCAATGAGACAAGCAAGCAGGCAAAGGAAAAACTTTTAAAAGCACCGCAATGAAAAAAATAAAAATACAAAATAAGTGGTGGAGAAACTGAATTTCTTTCCCATGATTGAACTAAACTGCATTTCCAGGAAGCGGTGGGCTGACCGCTCCCACAAGTTGTAAAAGGATTTTTTTCCCTAGTCAACCAACATCACCTGCACTGTACCACATAATTTAAAATCACCTTCATACAAATACAACCTTTTTTTGTCTTATACAGATAGCTTTGTAGATTTCATTTCTGAGGCTCTCAAACTCAAAGAACCCTTTAAAAAAATCATTCAACAACTCAGTCCTTTTTTTAAATAATTCAACACTTGGAAACTTTTTTTCCCCAAAGTTTGAGAAAATTAAGGCAATAAAGATTTACGAAAACACTAATATTCTAGAAAACTACTCAAATAATAAAAAGAATGAAAATAATGTAGCTTAATATCAAAGGAAGACAGCCCGTTTTTGTTCAAGACTTGGCTTCCTTCTATTTTCAATAAAAAAGTCTGAAAATCTACCTGCACATTCAAATGTTCATTTTTTTTCTGTACAGTTGGTTGACTTTAGATTTCTCTTTATGTCCCCTTATCTGTTTTTTTTTTTCCTTTGGAGGCAAAGTCCAGTCTCATGGTGAAAAATGAAAACTCAAAGTTGGAGACTGCCATTGATTTCATTGTCTTTGAGTTTAGCAAACCATCATTTGCTTTTTCTTCTGTCTTTTTCTTAGTTCAACCAGGTAAGAAAGATATTTTTTTTCTTCGTTTTGTCTTTTATTTGGTGCCCGTGCACAGTGGAAGCATTCTCCCGTCAGTGATGTCCATGTCACCTCTGTTTTTGTTTTTTGTTTTGTCCCGTTTCCTTTTGATACTCTGCGTCTCCAGCGCCTTCGTGCAGTCCTCCTAAAGGCAACGCAGCAATGATTCCTACCAATCCTGTTATCTAAAAGAGACAGAAAAGTCAGTGAGCGAGGACGTGACTGAGGGAACCGTGAACAATGTTACCGGGTTTTTTTGTAAGCAGGCACAACAGTCTTTGTACAATCACTATGTGTAAAGGAAACCACCCGTCGGTTATCTAGGAGGCAGAAAAACAAGATAAACACCAGGAAAAAGATAAAAAGCCAGAAGGAGAATTTTGCAAACAAAGGTTGCCATGCATCTGTGACCAAAACAGAAAAAGCGCGGCATAATCTGGGAATTTTACTGCAGTCCTTTATAGCTGATGCTGTTCATTTTTCCAGATACAGTTAATGTACCAGTTAGGATGCACCAGCTGTACAAGACCATGTGAAAAAAATTACAGACTTGCAATCATCACACTTACTTAGTCTGCTGGTAAGAGTAGGCTGTGGCGTGATCTCCTGTGTTCTCCACAGGTAAAGGCTGCTGCCCACTGGCGTCCTGTGAGGAGGGGGCAGCTGTCTGTGGAGAGGGGTCTGTCACCACACCCTGAACAGGGGGGGGAAAGCCAGATATTAAGGAACAAAAGAAAGCCTTGAAACTTTGGGCAATCATATAAAAGTAGGGACTCCTTTATGGCACATAGATAAGGAATCCAAAGAGAAAAATTCAATTAGCATTTTTTTTTTTAAAGGTGACAGGTTGATCTGGTGCGGTCAGTTTTCTGTCTGTGATTTTAACTTTATATACTTGTGAACTTGTAAAACAGCTCCTCTGATCTTTGGGGAGGGTTTGGTGTAAATTATTTCTCTCATTGAAGTATACGGATTGCCAAAGGCTAAGCAAGACTAATATATCACAAAATATATATGTTTAATCAGCAGTTTTCATTTCAAATGAAAGTTTGCAGGTTGTTTCGGTCCTTACGTCCACTGTGATGGCCGAGGCAGGCACTGCAGTGTACTGGGGAATGTAGGTTCCTTGCATAGGAGCAGCCGCTGCAGCAGGCATGTACTACAGATAAAAGGGGAAGAACACAGACTGTGTCATTTGTCTTATGGTCATTTCACATTTTAGACTGAAAACAGAAGCACCGGGGCAGTTTTCCTCTGCTCTAGCGCTTCTACTCTGAGAAAAACACTGAAACTGCAAGTGTACAATTATATTACACATATAACTCAAAGGATAAAACAAACACATGCACATACAGCACGATGAGCTGACTGGCCAAAGGGGAGACTTACAGTGCCTGTTGGGCCCAGAGACAGGTGGTTCATCTGCTGGGTTAGAGGAGCCATTACACTGGAGGGGTGAATAGACAAACTGGGCTCAATGGCAGCAGCTGGAGTGATCACAGCACCCTGGAGTAGAAATGGAAGGATACAAATCCAGTCAGCTTATAGCTAATAACTGTTATTTGGAGTCAAAAGTGATTTGGAGTCACTCAGTGATATTTAATTCAGATGCAGGAATCAATATATGATCAGATGGTGGAGAAAGGAAATTAAATCGGAAGAAATGTGGAGATTAAAAAAGAAAGAAATAAGCTGAGTAAAGAGACAACAGCTTTAAGCAATTTGCAGGCAAACATAACTCAAAGAAAAGGATTCAGAACAACTTTGACATGTTGGTTTAAAAAAACAAAACAAAAAAAACCAATGCTGAGACCTTAATGGCAAAATTGCTAAAGGGACCTCTGGCTAATATGTCGGTTCTGTGTCGGGCTCGTGGCCGAAAACTAGCTTTACTTTGTTTGCCAGTGAGAGACAGAGAGGCGTTGAAAGGCTGCTCCAACGGAACTTATTGTTTCAGAGGAAAACACGAACACGGTGTCCAGTCGAGTCTTAATAGCTTACTTACAACTGGGCTTGTCTTAATGTGCGTTTCATTTGGGTTTCCACCGGCGTGGAATTACCAAAAATAGAGAGGGCATAGCCTAACATATGAAACAGGAAAAGACCCCCGTGTAATCCATTTATTTCAACAAAGTAACCGTATTCTGAATACCACCCTTTTAAACAGTAACTGTAACAGAATACAGTTACTCATATTTTGTATTTTAAATAGGTAACACCGGTACATTTATTCCGTTACTCCCCAACACTGTTTACAGCTTAAACACATAATTAAGAAAACATCTATAAACTACTGTATAAAGTATAAAGGGTTCTGATCACTCATTAACCTATCAAAGTAAGAAAGTGTAGTGTACAACGTGTTTTAAAGCAATGACACATTGTAGTTTTTTTTAAGCTGAAGTAAAAAAAATTGCAGCTAGAAGAAGTAGTTATATTTGGTGACTGCAAATTGTGCGAGTTTGTACATGAGCAACACAACCAGTCAGCAGGCTTGGCAGCAAGGCTTGACAGAACCTGCTTGTGAATGGAGCAGAGACGCTTTTACTCTAAATCTCTTGAGTGTGAAGGCCTTTGAAGCAGTCTAACACCTTGATGCGCTGAGATCTACTTTTCCAGTGCAGCTCTGCTACAACTTCAACAGCTCTGTAAAGATTTAATAGGAGACTGTGTGCTCTGGTTATTTGTGATGGATGTTTAACTACACTTCCCATGAGCACAGACAGCATCAGTGGTTATGTATTGGTGCTGCTCTTGAGAGCAGTCAGCACCTCTACAGCTTCAAGTTGAGACATAACGTTAGAAGAACACAAGTATTAAATTTAGGTATTTTAGGCACACGCCTGGCTGTATGGCAGACGACTTAACAGCTTTGAATCTGTAGGGTTTCTCTGGGAGGCTCGCAACAACAAAACCACACATAAGCACATACAGTACACACTTTCAAAACAAGGAAAGTTCTAGATATCTGAAGTGCTCGCTTTGAATGCATATACAGTCTGACAGTTGTTCACAGTTAAGATTCTGTAAGGTAAGACCCTTATGACTGCAGGCTTTACAGGAAAAAAACATGCACGCGTGCACACACTGTGCAAACAAAGATTGTCAGAGCTGTTAACAAAGGTACAATGTTTTTCTTCCTGACTGCTGTCTTCATAGAGAGATCTGTTTGCAGAACACAGCAGCATCAGAAATGCTCTGTAAACACTTTCCTCAGTATTACAAGTGAATGAGACGAAAGCCCACACACACACACACACACACACACACACCAACAGATCTACCCTCAAACCGGCACAAAAGCTTTGGCTCATGCAGGTAAATTTACCAGCCAGAATCGTATTAACACCCGAGCTTTTCAACCATCTAAATAATGCGTTCTCTCTTGTAATGAATTCTCATCCTCCCTTTCTCTTTCTTTCACTTCATCCAATCTCACAGCAGGTTTCCAGGCAGAAACAAAAAAATGAAACCCACAATGAGTAGCTGTCTGCTCTGATTTATAGCTCTACAAGTGATCAACTCTCCATCTCTGTATGGGTCTGCACCCGGGCACTATGTATTAGTATGTAATGAGTGCAGTTGTATGTTATGGTGTGCGTGTTTTTAATGCATCAGATGATTTTCCTGGGGTATAAATGAGCCCACATGACAGTTATCGTTTCCCTGAGGACATGACTTAAAAAAAACAACAAAAACCCCACACAGAATCTACTTCAACTTTGAACTTGCCCTCTCTCCCTCTCCCCTGTCATTTTCCCATTAAAGAAGAGAAGCAGACTGACTGCTGCAGGCAGTCTGAAAGCATCAAATACATAGTATTAGTGATAATGATACTCGTTTATTGAGAAAACCCCTAAATGCTGTTTTTATGATGGGCGCTCCATGTGCGTGAGAATGCAAAGAGTTTTGAATTGGCATTATTTGTTCTTACTGAGGTGGTGTGCTACGACGTGCAGATGTTTCTATTATTCTATAAGCTGATTTCCTGAGACCACACCCTCTTTATCAACACACAAAGTACACTGGATTTTCGGCGTAAAACCAGACAAGTACTCCTTAGTTCCCGGCTTTATCCATGCACCCGCAGGCATGCACCTGTGACAGTTCTGCACACACGGGATCTCGCGGTTAGGAAACAAAACAAAACAAACGTGAGGTATAGAGCTCTATTTGCAAGCCCTGATATTGTACACTGCCTTTGTCTCCTGCAGAGCTGAAATCCCAGTTCTTTAGATGTCTCATTACAGCCCTCCTCAATAAGCAGCATTGATTGTGTGTGTGTGTGTGATTTTTTTTTTTTTTTTTTGTGTGGTTTGGCTAATGCATTCATTTCCTGTAGGGGGATTTGTGAGTAATTATGCACAAAGACATCCTCTCACTAATTAAGATGTAAAGACAGGCAGTTCAAGTAATCTGGGCATCCCACCAAGGCGCAGAAATGCACAATCCTTAAGGCAGTGTGTGTACAGGTGTGTTTAATGTGTGTGTACATTAATCAGGCAGTGTGTAGCTACACTGGTGTCTGTCGGTAATCACAGTTGTGTGAGCCTCTACTGCTCCTTTTAATAAAGTAAAGCACATTTGTTTTTTATTTGAAATAACGTCAACCTCATCAGTAATTTTACAAATGACCATTTAAAAATGCAATTCTTAACCATAAATAATGTATTATTTTTAAGTAATATTTAAAAAAAAACACTACAAACCATGCAACCTAATGCAAATTTATCATGTAAAATTCAAATTCCCCTCCTAAAATCCACAGTTTTTTAAATTATGTTAGCACAGCTGAAAACGATTGTACTGATTACATAAGCAATAAATTTACTTCTGTGTCTGAAACATAAGGGTTCCTGGTTTTGATTACACTCAACATGGCTAAAAAGATAACTCAGTTTTCTTGTTTTAAGAAGTAAATGCTATTGCATGAGGCAAACTGAACAATCTGAAATTAAGTGTGTTTATGTCAGCATTGTGTAGTATTCTCCGGTGACAGTACAAAGTGGTTAGTTTGAGAAAAAGATCGTTCATAGGTCCTCAACTGGTCACTGCATTAAATGGTTCCTGTAAAACACCAGCCTGCAGGTGATTTTTAGATGCTGGCCTTCTAGGAAGAGTTGTCCAAAGAGCCATAACTGTGATCAGTCAATAAAAGTAGAAAATAAAGACAGGGGAAAAAAATCCCCAAAACACAACACACAAATATTGGGCAGACGTAAGCAGTTTTCAGACATGAAATGATGCTGGAATAGTGTTTGACAGCATCTGCTAAGTGTGGTGGAGGAAATTTGATGGTTTGAGGCTTTGGTCGTGCTAAAGTGGGAGATTTGTACAGCAAAAGATCTTGAACAAGAGAAAGGCAGGCTTTCACTCTGTTTTGTAGTGCCATACAGTGCCTGTGGATACAGCAGGACTGGAGTTGATTTCCAAAGCAGCTCTGACATTTATAGGAACTACTCAGAAAAAGCAGTCAGCTGGTGTTTTGCCTATAGTGGAGTGGCCAGCGCAGTCACTGGCTCTTAACTACTCATCTGTTATGGGAACAGAAAAACTGCCAGAGTGCCAAAGGGCTGCAAGGCTGCAAAACTGAGACAGTACACAGTACAAAATTGTTCCATCAATCAAAAATATTTTTATCTAATGTTATTAATGTCTATTTCGTTTCACTGCAAATCTGTTAGATTAAGTTTTCATGAATTTAAATATCCTAGTTGACCCCAAACCTATGAGCAATAGTGTATGTGCATTTTTAATCCTGAGCCATGAAAACAGCACACAGCATTGATGTTTGTTCTCTTGTTCTAACCTTTTAATTAGACTCATTAATTTCTTTAGCGACAGAGTGTCTCACATTCCAATTTTGGTGCCACAAGCATTTAAAAATCTCAAAGTAGATGATGGACTGTTAACCAGAGGAGGTGTGCGCATGTTCATCTAGCTAAAAGTGTCAATGAGTGCATAGCATTTATCAAAGTTACCAGTCATTAACTGCAGTACAGCAGTGAGGAAGCCTCTGCTACCATAGGAACAGACTTAAGCTGCTGTGTCTCTCAGTCTCCCTCCCTGATGCAGCTTTAATTTGTCAAGCTCTTCAGTATCCAGGAAATACAATAACTACCCCTCATCTTTGTTGTCTAACAGGGAATTTGTCTATACATAGACAAGGGTGGAGAACAGATGTGCACAGCCCAAACATGCTTTTGCAGCGGCTGTTTTCGTTTCTTTGTTCTCAATATATTCATTGTAATCCCTTCTTTCCTCTTTCCCTGCACCTCCTTCTCGCCCCTGTCCTCCTTGTCAAATCCGCCGTGTTTATTTATTTATTTTTCTCTTTCTCCAAACCATCAATCTCTGCTCAAGCTCACCCTGTCTTTTCCCAAGTCTTAGGAAGTCATATCAAGCGGCCTGCCAAATAATTAGATGGGACATTTGTTTGAAAACACATTTACAGAAGGGTATTATCCCCGCTCAGAGACATAATTTTAATCAGACAAGACAACAGAATGTGTTTAAGATTTGCCAGACAGACATAAAGAGCAAGACAGAAGACAGGGAGAGAGAACAACAGAGGAGGAGCAACAAATCTGAACACTAAAGATTTTTGGCAACCACGGCGGATACGATTGCAGAAATTTGCACCGCCTTACGTACCTGCCCCGATAAACTCCTTCACCCCATGAATGACAGAACAAAATCATACAACCTTTTTTAGCACAGGTGTACAGATAAACCCCCTGAATGTAAGCACATTCATCTCTTACAGGCTACTTTAACAGATACACTATATTGACGAAGGTACTGGGGCACCATTAGAGCTGCAGGAGCTGCGTAGCAGTTTTAGTTTGATGTTAATGCCACAGGCACAGGCTTAAGAACGAGCCAGCATCGCCGGGACTAAAGACACCAGAATTGAAACATGAATATTTTTGTCCATATAGTGTTTGATATAGACCTTTAAACTATTGTTGAACAAATGTTTAAGAGGAGATAGAAGTTAAATTTTATCTGAAAGACTTTCAAGGTTACTGTAATATGAATCTCTTCTGCCTGTGATTTCATAATGCATCGGTCCTGCTACACTGAGAAGTAATCATCTTGTAAGCAGGACTAAGCTTGGACTATTCCACAATTTATATGATATAGCTTTCTAATTCCACTAATTCAATGCAGTACTTTGTCAGATGACAAGATGAAGGCACGGAGATTTTATATTTTATGCTACAATAGTCAGTGAATGTCAGAGAGACTGAGGCTTTGGACTATGCTTAGAGCGAAGCCTGTGGAGGCTTAATAACATAGAGCGGCTGTATATAGTCCCTGTATCAAAGGAAGGAAAAGCCCACAGTTTGTGTTAAGGTTATGTTTGTGTTTGCCAAAAGAAGAGAGAATTTGTAGGTAAGTGTGGGTTTATAGAGTATGTTGACTGTACACCTACACTCAGAGTCGATTCATGACTCTTCATGTAAATATACAGAATGTGTGGGTGTGTTTTAAAACGTTTTTGCACGTCAGTCAAAGCTATGTGTATGAGAGACAAAATGTGAGAGAAAGCTCTAGCCAAGGATGGATGGAAAAGAGCTATAAACACCAAGGGTTGGATTTTACATCACTGCATTATGCATCATATACACAAAGATGCACTGCTGCTTTTGATATGCAAATTTTATGCATCACTATATGAAACTGAGCAGCAGTTACACATGTACATTGACTTATAGATAAATAATGTGCTTTAAACTAGCCGTCTGGAAACCTGTTTTTGTACATGCAGTTTCATTCAAAACCAGCAGGGAGCAACCTTTTATTACAGATTCTAAAGTGAGTTTCGCCAAGCTCTCTGAGGTCCTTTGAGAAGGCTATTCACAGGCTGATTCAGCAGAGTGGGGCTGGGATTCAGGGTTACAGTTATTTTCCTTCTCTGACCTGGGTTTGGCTCTCAAGCACTTATTGGAAGAATTTCCTTTTATTACTTGGCTTTTCGCAGTTTTCGTGATTCATACCAACTTGTCGGTGACCTGTTGTTATTACTAACATTTTCATTCCTGAATTATTAAATACTCATTTGATGAAGAAAAAGGCAGGGCACATTAAATACTGTTATAAAAGCATTTGCAGGCAGTCCTCGAGACCAATACAGCCTATGCTTTAAAAGCTTTTGTAGTTTTTCTCCCATAAATCCTGCCACTGACATTCACATGAGTAATGAAGCTATTAAACACACACACTGAAAGTTTTAAGACAAAAAGAGTATGCCAGGGAGAAAAATTGACACATGCTGTACACTCAGCATGTGTACATTTATTATATATAATAAATAAAGGAGTGAGTGAAAAGGGTTGGAAAATAGAGAACAAGACTTTACAGAACGAGGCTTAAAAACAAAGGAAATGTTGGTTTAAAAACTTACTGTAGGTTGCATAACATATTGTTGATGTGGCATCCAAGATGTACTCTGAACCTGAAGAAAGAGAAGAGAAGGGAAGGGAGAAGGAGAGGACGGACACGAGTAGGATGATGCAGAGGGGAGGTCATGACGAGATGAGAGGAAAGGAAAGATCAAAAGCAAGATTGTTGTAAGTGGGTAAAGAATTGAGGAAGAGAGAACATTGAGAATGACAATTGGAAGACAGAATGACAGGAAGCGAGTGAAAGTGAGAAAACCAAAGAAGAGAAGTAAGAAAATTAATCATTATCTCAAGCCTTTACAAGCCAATTTCAGAGCCTCAGTCCCAGCGGCAGCACGTCTTAAAGAATATTACAGCAGTAACTAAGGGTCCACTATACAGAAAGTTTGTCGTAATTATAAAAGGATATGAAGACCACAGAGAGCAAAACAGTCTTAACAATTACTGCTTCACAGTGAGGGTTTCATCATCAAAGATTAAGTTGGCCACAAATCATACTTTCATCTTGTTCTCCTTCCGACCGCTCAACTCTAACAAACTGAAGGCAGAAATGAGTCTCTGAGGGTCCCTTTGTCTCATGCGTTATTGTTGTATGCATGCATTCTGTACCTGCATCTGTATGATCTCTTACCTACATCTGTCAATGATGAGTTAAAACAATGAAAGGTAATGTTTTTTCTTTCCCTATAAAGCATGATACTTTAAGTCATGAGTCTTTGAATTTGGCTTTCTTATAGAGCTCTAGAGCTCCATCTTGTTTTTGGGTACAGCAGCTGCCAGCCAGCTCTGACATAACTTGATATGGTTTGTGTGTGGAAGAGAACGGGCGCGACACATGAGAGCTGAGAGTTAAAAGCAGCATTTGTGCTCAAGAATGGGAGATGGATAGGAGGAGTTCTGCAACGTAAGCCTGCATTTTATCATTGCTAGACAAAGAATTGCCTTGATTCTACAGAGCTGATAACTTCATTTTGGGTTCATATCTTTGGTTAAGTATGACAAACTCCACCTGTACATCCAGGAATTACTCTACATAGAGTCAGGAATGGGATTTTCTGGTTTTAAGTAGGCCACGGCACTCATCAAACTTCTGAGAGGTTAAACTCACCTGATATGTGGGGACAGGAGAGGCAGCAATGAAGGGTGTGATCGATGTCTGAGCAATCATCCGATTCGTGGAGATGCTGTATGGAGAAGAGTAGAACCTATGAAAGCACAAGACATACATTTTAATTTTGACTGTCCACATCATCTAACTTCTAATAATCACCTGGGAGGGAACCAAACGCGTGTATTAACAATCCAGAGGTTTCTCTGCAGTTTCAGCTCACCCTACATAACCACATGTAATGCTGAAAATGAGGCTTTTGTCTCAGTTTGTTTTGAACTACCCAGTACACTTCAAGACAACACTGACAAAATGGATCAGACATCATCAAGGCTGTCATGGAAACAATAAATATTGCAGCTTCACTCTATGTAGCACAATCAAAGACATCTTAGAATGAGACTTGACACCGCACCAGACTACACATCATGTTACAAAGGAGTCTGCACCACTGCTACGCATAATAATGAATTATTACCTTAATGTGTGAGTGGGTGAAATACTTCAGTATTGCTCTTTATGTTTCCACCTACGCACACCCTACTTCCCATCGGTTGCATCTGTAACATCTGCATTTTATAATCTATTCACTTCTCCTATGCCTCTATTTGCCCTTCTCATTTTGATCTCTTTTTCCCCCCATTTCACCCCCTCAGCTCTGCAGCTGTAGAATGCTGTGGCTCGCAGTGCTTTATTTATCATTGTGTACCTAGAGAGGACATGTTTCATCCGCCAAGCCGTGTTGCTGTGCCCGATCGATCCCAAAGTGTCTGTTGACTGAATAATGGAGCCAGTGAGGGGAGGGGAAACCAAGGGCCAGAGACAGAAAGCGAAGCCCTACCCTATCCATCTCTAACACAGCCATGATTGTAGAAAAAAGGTACTTGCCACATATCAAGTGTTTCTCAATCAGGGAAGAAAATTACCTGAATAAAAAGACAAACTCATTTTTAATTTACTTTTAAAAGGCAACTTCAAACTACTGTTAGGTCGCTCCATAATATTTCTTAAAATCCGCAGTGAGCACAACATATAGTAATAGCCCATGCACGGAGATGACAATGGGGCTCAGCCAAAGACAGAAAAACCTAGGAGGACTGTGGTGGTAGTCGCCTGCGACACATGCACACATCTCATTTCAAGGGTGAAATGGGTTCCTGAGGTACCCACCTGTTCTGTTATTGCACATTCTGTTTCACATTACATTTGTTCAGTCAGTGACGGCATGAGCAGTTTTGAACCTCAACTGCGAGATGTAAAGCGTCAGATATTTTTAAACTATTGCGGCTCAAGGCTTGTGCATGCAGCCGGTTCCCAACTGCCTGCGATAAGCTGCAGAGCGTGATTGTGCTTCTCACAGACATTCAGTCTCCCTGTTGGATTTTTATGCCCTACTTGGTGTGCCGAGGCCTAAGTAGTAGCTGTACATATATAATAGAGACACGCCAGTTATTTGTTCATTTATTACTTTTAACGCAACATGACTCACTTCTGTTGAACCAGAAAAAGAAATTCGTGGCAGGTTTGGTTCTAATTCATCTGCGGCTCGATTGCGTGTTTTGTCTACTTTTAACCATGTGCAACAAGCAAACATTAGTCGTATTGTTGCAAAGTGAAAATCAGTACAGCTTCAGAAAGAGCAAAGATCTACAGAAATAGCTAGTATAGATTTCATAGAAAATATATGTGCAAAAGGAAAAAGACTGTTCTGTGAACCCCAGTATTTTGTTTTCTGAATTGTAGCTCTATGGCATCAGAGGTATAGCCTATAATTGGTTCCAGAGTTATTTACGAGAAAACAATATGTACAGTTGGAGTTGGACGGGGATCGATGCTAGGTCCTGAACTTTTCATTTTAATCATGAATGGTAATCGTAATTCAGAAAAAAAATCTATATGTACATTTTGCTTATGATATCACTGTCCTGCTAATAAGTTACATACATTGTTGCTATTGTCAATGAATCAGTCAAATTTAAACAATGATTTAATGTCAATGGAATAACTTTGAACATACACAAAACAAAATATTTAAGAAATAGCAGTAAAAATGTGGAGTTTGGTGTTATTACTGATGGAACAAAGAAATGGTGGATGAAATCAAATTTCTTGGTGTGATAATAAGGTTTGCAAATAGTCATAGACTGATTTTAAATTAACTCCAATTTATTAATGTTTTATTGGCCTTTTAACAACCATGTATTCAGAAATCTAACCAAGTAGTTTTACAGTTTACTATTTATTAATGATGGCTATTCTAAGCTACAACTCACTTTCAAAAATGTCTCCAATTCTTTTTTGCCTTAGATTAACTGCATATTCCAACTTTGGACATGACATTATATTGCAGGGTTTAAATAAATGTAGATAAGCTGGAGTACAAACTGGAACTTGTTTGTCATGAATGAGAATCAAGAAAAACACAATGCGGTGCTATGGATCCATCTTTTTCACTGTACAGTTAATAAATGACTTGCATTACAGATACTGTATTACTGTCACTGATGAATACAAATGAGGTGACAGGGCCAGGTTATTCAATGTGGTTTTCTGATTGTGTTTATTGTATTTTCATTAGACTGATGTGTATTAAGAGAGAGAAGCAGAAGGCAGAGGACAGACCCAAGGTTATTGATGTAGGCTATTAGCCCTGAGCAGCCAACTGTCAATGGGGACCCCGGCACTGCTATTTAAACAATGCACTAAACATGTAATTGCAAACAGAACATTATTACAGGACTGAATTTTAAAGCCTCTGTGGATCCCTAGTGTGATTTAATGCCCTGTCAGGCGTTTACACTGAAAAATTACTGAGTGATTTAGTGGTGACCCCAGTGACTTTTCCTATAGATGGAAAAGGGAAGTAAAAAAGGGCAAGAAAAAAGACAGGAGATACACTTAATGGGAGCTAGTAGATTCAGAATAAGCAAAAGTAGGTTAAGATAAGACAAACTATAAGCTTTCCAACAATGTGTGTCTGGCAATGGATGCTTTAAAATAACCCCAAAACAAAACAAAAAAAAACGTTGTCCTCAAGCTCACAGTGAAACCTGTAATTGATTCATACCTTTCCCCTCTCCTTGGACTGACTTTATTTCTGCCTTTGCCCTCCTCTTGACCCTACTCGGCCCTCCATTTTTATTCAACCCACTTCCCTCCCTGCTTTTTGCCTCTCTAATTAGCTGCATTAGCATTTCACAGTCATTTAGTGCTTCGCCGGAAGGAGCTACGATGACCTCGGAAGAGAGGTTGGAGAGGGCTTACACACAGCAAGCACACAGATGCTTGCGTGAGAGTGCCCATTTATGCATGCACGAATGAGCACACTCGCACCGAAAGACACCAAAGACGACTCAAAGCAAAGCAGCTGTTTGAAAACAGAACGAATGAGAAGAATTGAGCAATACAAAACAATGTGGAGAGGGCAAGAAACAAGTCAAAAACAGTGAAAAGAAAAAGGACTGTATAATTTCAGATGAACTAGAAAAAAAAGAAAAAAGAAAGAGTGGCTTTAAGGTATAAAGTGGCGGACCAATCTGACAAAAGGAGGAGAAGAACAAGAGTGCAGAGCTGCAGGGAAGCATCTCCAGGGATCACATCACCAGCAGCATTCCTACCAGACAACACCAATCTCCAATTTCCCCCTGAAACAGGCAGGCACTCTGCTCTCCTCAACCAACTTGGGAGCACTGCAGATAGCCTCGGCTGACGAAAGTATTACAGCAGCACTGCAACAACGCCCATCTTCCTGTCTGCAATCAAAACCTACAACTCTGACAGCTTGTATGCATAGGTGCATAAATAAATGCTCCATCTGCATCAGTTAGGTGTAAGAATAAGAGCGAACGCCAGATAGTATGTGTGTTCTGTATCAGTTCAGGTATATGGGTTAATGTGTGTTATGTGTGACCCTCTCGTTTGCATGCAGGTGCTCTTGTGCATATTTCTGCAGGTTGTTGCCATGTTTCAGTGCACTGATCTTAGGAGGATTTTATACTGTCACTCTTGAACAGGCTGCGTGTAACAATGTAAGTAAAAAGTCAAGTTTGGAGACACTCTTTAGATCGAGGTTGTTCGTGCGAGAGGTAAAAGAAAAAAAAAAAAACTTTCTACATACCCATTCTGCATCGCTGTGGGGTCATACGTCAACGCCATACCACTCTGGAGAAAGAAACACATACACCGAAATGTTAAATACATGACTTGCCTTTTTAACCAATTTGTGTTTGTGGTCTTTATCACATATACAGCTACTCTATACAACTAAATAAACAATAAAGTATGATATAGCTATTGTACGTTATAATGTGTAATGAACAGAGAAAGCAAACTATACAAGAGCGTTGTACAAAAAACACAAAATTCAAAAGTGACTGGGATATAAGGACCTACTGAATGAACAATAGATAAGCAGTCTAAAGACTCCAAACTAATCCAGCTAAAAGCTCTTATGTACAATAAAATTATTTGGAATAATTGCCTTTGAGCAAAAGAGCCATTTATAAGTGCAGTCGTTTTATTTAACATGCTCAACAAAATCAAACACATGAAGGTCAGTGAGGGACGATTGTTGCATGTGGTATATGACTATATAAAATAGGTAGGAACAAAATAAGTTCCCAGTTCTAACTGACTCTAAATTTTAGCAGACCAAAGACAGTGGAACGCTTTAGATTTTCTTTACCGTTTCTCCTTAAAGGTTTTTAAAAGTCAACTTTTATGGTATGAGTTTAACTCCACTATCTGGCTGGGCTTTTCTGGGTTTACGTGGGTTCTCTCCAGGTACTCTAGCTACCTTCCACAGTCCACAGACATGCAATTATTGGGGTTAGGTTAATTGATAATTCTAAATTGCTTCTATGAGTGCGACCCTGATAAGGATAAGTGGAAGAGAATGGATGGATAGAAGTTTTATGGTACTTTATTTTCTTTTACAAAAAACAGTTCACACTATACCATGTTTGATTAGCCTGAGGAGCATTCAAATAAATAAACAAGACATTAAGAAGTTGCACTACCACCTAAGTCAAACAAATCCATGCTGGTTGGCATTAATGGAGGTAACAGCCCAACATAGGAAAGTTAGAGATTACTCAAAAGTCCATAAGAAGGGTGTGGCTCAGGAGGTAAGTGACATCTGCTCAGAAGGCCAGTTGTTTGATCCCAGCCTTCTCTAGTCCAAGTTTAAGTGTTTTTGGGAAGCGCCCCCCATGTTCCTAACACACATTTTATCTGTGTGTGTGCCTGAGAGTGTAAGAGATTTTTTCTACACAAACTGTCACAAAGTAGAGTACCAGTGTGTGTACTGTATGGATGAATGTGGCTCTTTCAGTGGTAAATAAGATAATGTTATATAATAGCAATAACACACACACACACACACACACACACACACACACACACACACACACACACACACACACACACACACACACACACACACACAGTCAAAAATTGCCAAAAGCACTCAAACTACTCACTGAAGCAGCCCAAACTTTTCTTTTTGATCCATTTTTTGAGTTAAAGGTTTTTTTCCCCCAACAGCATTATATTAGTATATTTCTATATTCCCTCTGTCCCTTCTTCCCTTCATAAAGCTGTTATTAAATAGTGACTAAATATGTTTAGCCAAGCATTTATCAGTGACACTAGCCCCTTTGTGGTTTCTGTCTGTCTCATTCCTTCTACCATGTTCAAATGATTGAGGCTGGGCTTCTCTTTGAGGTTTGAATAAGATCTGCTTCCACTTGACTACCTCTTGGCAATTCTGGACCAGACTTAAAACAACTGTTTGCTCCTAATCTTTTTTTTTACTCTTGCACCACCCCATCACCATCTATCGGCCCTGCACAAGTCATTTGTACTTACTCTACATTCTACACAAGGCTCTTCTCTCCAAATTGGCACATGAGTTGAAAGGGTGCCCTGATGCTGAACCCAGCTCAGTGTTTGGTTTTTCCACAAACACTGTTTTAGCCAAGCCTAGGCTGGGTAGGTAGGTATAGACTCCAGAAGCAACAAAAAGCACTGCTAGACACCAAATAGAAAAACTGATCAACTCCAGGGATTTGCATTCATCTAACAGCAAATCTCTTTCTGTGCTGCTACACAGCTACATGCGTATCCCTTATCCATTTTCCAAAACAAATTCTGTAAGCGTGTGATTACATGTGTAACGCACGTATTCACGTCACCGTACCAAGGCCAGACTCGTATCAGAATGAGTTGACTGAGATAAGTAGGCAGTGAAGCACCTCAAAGCATCTCCCTGGCCAGATGTCTCTATTAGCAGAAGTATTAATTTATATAAGTCAGCCTGGACTCTGAGGCCTGGCTCTGACAAATGCATAAACCTCTGAAGAGATGCTTCAGGGCCGAGCGGGGCTTGTCACGACGTGTGCCACAGACAAATGTGTGAGGTGTCTCACTGAAAGCAGTCATCACTTATTTCAAGTTCACACAGACATTGACAAGAGGGAAGTACGTTAACGGAAAACTGACATGTGACAAATCGTCGGTATGTTAGGCGTTCAGAGGCATGACAGTGGTTTTGAATGAATCTATACATGCACATATGTTTTTTCGTTGTGTTCATGAATCACTTTGGAAAACACTACCTGATAGGCTTTAGGTTAAGGTTAGAGGTAGACAGCTGCAGCACGTGTTACCACCGCGAGTGCCATTCTATTGGATTCAATTGAGAATCTGGAGTAAGTGGAAGGCTACCTTTCAGGTTACTACGAGATGCATTGGGACGTGACAAATTGTATTTTACGCGTTGGGAATGAGAGTGCTCTGGAAATTAAGACATACAAAACCGGCACAGCTCCATAGTATTTTTATCTAGCAAATGAATGCCTGTATTTAAGCGAAATCTGAATAAAATGACATATTCACTTTACCCATTTCTGCAAAGCTGTGTGGACGTTAACTTGCATTGAAAAAAGGCTGTATGTGCTTTAACTGCTCATTTAGCTACACTCTCCAAGCAATGGCACTGCATATGTGAAATCCACTGTGCAAAATACCACACATTTAATTGTGAATACATTTAAGTTGAGCTTTTTAATAATGTGATTAAGGTATTTACTGTGGTGGTTAAAGGCAGATGCATTTTTTGCAGGGATGTTTAACCTTGGCCAGCAGACTTTGCTCATTTCTGACTGTTTTATGAGTTATGTTTTATACTATTCAGTTGGAGTTTTTTTTTGTTTGTTTGTTTTTTTAACTCCCATTCCTAGTTGATGACACATTACAAAAAATACCACCAAAATTGATGGTATGGTGGTGCAGTGGTTAGCACTGTGGCATCACATTAAGACGGTCCTGCGTTTGGCAGCCTGTTCTCCCTGCATGTTGTCCCTGTGTGGGTTCTCTCCAAATACTGTGGCTCACTTCCACAGTTGGTAAAATGAAGTGTGCATGGTTGTTTATCTCTTTGTGTTAGCCCTGTGACAGACTGGTGACCTGTTTAGGGTGTGCCCAGCCTTTCGGCCAATGATAAGCCAGGCTATGACACACACGTTTGCTCTTATACAAAAAGACTAAAGCTGCAATCTGTGCCTGCTCCACACAGCCATGAGCAAAGGTCAAACACTGCAACATCTTGTTTTCATTGCGGCGCCTCTTGTTACAGTGCATAGTTTCAGCCTGGTTCCATTTCATTTCACTCCACCACCCTGCTCTTTCCCAACCTTCGTGTAACGAGAACACTGGGAAACTGTTAAAAACTGCACCGGGGTGTGTGGGTGGCAGCATTATTATTCACTTCCCCTTGTTCTGTAAATTAAAGCTTTGGTATTGACACTAAAAACTTTTGAACTCTCTGCATTGTGAAACAGTCAATCTGCTTTCAATCCTTTGCACAAGGTTTCATTTCTTCTGAAGATGACGGACAGGAGGTGGGAGTTTCAACAAAAGCAAAAACAAGTTTGCAATTGGGACCTTACAGAAACCTTATATTTTAAATTTAACAACCTTTTTGTGTGCCAGCTTTCATACTGTCAGCAGCATCTCTAACTGAACCTACAGTGCCTTACTAGAAATGAAAGTGGATAATGACCCCACGGAGAGGAGGGGGATCTGTCAAGCTATTATGATTTTAAATTCTGCGGTATGTTGAAGAAAAAAAAAAAAATGGAGTCAAAGGGAGCATCAGCCGCATATTGAAAATTATTAGAATAGATGATTTACAACTGTAACGTTTCCTAAAACATAATATGGACACCGCTGTGCATAATCACTCATTTCTTTGACTATTATAATAAAAGAAATGTTATCCTTCAGCTATAAAACTTAATTGAAAGAAGTGTAAATGATTTTTTTTGATAACTGTAATTTCTCTTTTTAAAGTCCTCTCAGTAGACTTGTGTTCAGTTTTGTTTTTTCATTTTAATTGAGAAAAGCAAGAGACTATATTTGACAGCAGGCCAAGAGAATATTTTATGAAGTCTCCCAGGGAGCTTTTTTTGATGATTAAATATATTTTTAAGCCTCACCTCTCCTTCCCGTGTCCACGATCGTCCATTCTGGGGATATTTGACCTGGGTCTGTCTCTTCTTCTGGCCTCCATCAGCAAACTTGCACAGCAAAGGCTCTGAGGGAGCTATAGAGTGAGACAAGGACAAACACATTTATAGATTAATCACCTTATAAGTAGGAGAAAGTCAAACTATATGTTTTAGGTTAAATTTAAAAGATTACACTTAAAGTGTTTTATGCTACAGCTTAAATAAACTAAAAGTTAGTTGGTCCTGAAAGCAGCACTTCAGCTCTTAGATTTATCTCAGCCACCCGTAATCCAAACATTTACACAACACTAGTTATCACCCCATCTCTTTTTAGCCCCTTCAACCATGCTTTCAAAACAGCAACACTGACGTAGGAACAAAGCCACAGGCTAATCAATAGTGCATGGTGTGCGAGGTTCAAACAGCAACCCAAACAGGCATACTTAATACGCTAAATAACTCCACGTAGTTTGACCCATGGGTAACAGACTGCAATTGTAAGTCCTGAAAAGAAAATACTGTCCCTCCCTGGATGAGAGAAAGAAGAAATGTTTGGTTACAAATAAGATTAACTTACAGTGACCTTCCATGTCTAAGTTCACCAAGCTTAAACTGAATATACCCTCAGGGTTTGTGAACAGAAGGAAGTTGTCAGATTGTGAGAGGATTATCCAAAGAAAAACTAAAAGTCTGTGTTTACTATGATTTACTTTAAAGGCATATCTTTAAAAATGGTTAGAAAGCAAGCAGGAGTGGACAGTTACTTCATTTTCTGGGAAATGCTTCAGAAGCCACATGTCTTAACATTAAAACATATTACCATAACATGAACCAGGACACTCAAATAAGATATCTGATGCCTTGTCTATTTAGAGGATAAACAGACGCTAATCTGTTTTATGGCAACTGTGATGCTAGGGCATATTTCTTAGACTTTCCAGCTGCAGTTTAACCAACTGCAGCCAAAAACATGTACCCTTCACAACCAGCATTTTGCTTCACATATTTGACTGATTAAGTAAAGAAATTTGCATGGCTATTTACATTGTAGATTCTCATAGAAGGCATCAAAACTATGAATGAACACATATGGAGTTGCGTAGTAAAAAACAAAAACAAAATTGATTTTAGATTCTTCAAAATATCAATCCTTTGCTTTGATCACTGCATTGCACACTCTTGGACTGTTGTTTCTCTTTACTTGGCTGATTGGTTCTTGCTATAATATGAATTCTAACATTCAAATAGGGCTGACTTCTGCACAACACAACTGATGGTGCCAACCCCATTAAGAAGGCAAGAAATTCCACAAGTGAACCCTGATAAGGCACATCTGAAGTGAAAACCGTTTCAGATGACTAGGTCAAAAAAAAGTCATTGAGAGAAGTCCGACAGTTTCTTTGAGGAATCTACAACATAAAACAAATTTAGAGTTATTTATTAAAAATTTTCTTTGCTACATAATTCCATATATCTTGCTTCATGTATTTAATGTCTTTAGTAAGTATCTACAATGTAGAAAGTAGAAAAAAGAAAGAAAGAAAATATTAAATGAGAAGGTGTGTCCAAACTTTTGACTGGTAGTGTATATATTTAAAATATTCCATGATTTAAAAGCCATTAAGCTTGTATTTACCCTAAAGGAGACAAAGATCAAACAAGAAAGACCCGCCAACAAATACAACTGAAGTAAAGTCCTGGCAAAGGGGCAAACCCATTACTGCTGTTCACAGACTCCAAGTATTTTTTTTAACCTTTGTTTAACTAGGAAGTAAAATTGACATTAACGCCATCTTTTTGTGAGACTGTCCAGGACTGACATAGGCAGATTTAACCTGGCATGTTATTTCGTTTTATTCTATCCCCAGTGGTAACTGAAATGAGCTCACCCACAGAAAATGTATACAAGCAGAGAGGGTTGAACCCAGAGCTCTGGCTCTGAGGCAACAGTGCCCAAGCATTCACTCGTGGCAATAGATTCTTAAAGTCTTAAAAATTTGCATATTATTAATGATTATGTTAATTCATCCAACTAAATCTAGGTAACTGAATGTAATTTTTCCGAACTCTTGAAATATAGCTTTAAATATGTTCTTCGGTTAAATCCATACATACATCAATTTTCTGCTGTTTATACAGGTGCTGCAGAGGCAGAAATTTAAGCAGAGATGCACAGGCTTTTCTCTTCCCAGAAACCTCCCCAAACTCTCCTTGGGGGAAACCGGAGCATTCCCAAGCCAAAGAGATACAATCTCTCCCGCGTATCCTGGCTCAACCCCAGGGCTTCCTCCCAGCTGGACCAGGAGTGGGCACTCCAACCTTTCTGATCGAGTACCACAGCATCACACTTATGCTTATTCTCATGCTAAGCGCTTCTTATTTGGCGTGAGGTGCTACAGTGCAGTGAGGTATTTGCTTCATAAAGACAACAGAACCATAATAAAAAAAAAAAGCAGAAATGAGATCCTAAGACCACCTAACCCAACACAGTCTCCACTTATCGCTGTCCTTAGACAATCTGTTAAAAAAAATTAATCCAGAAGCACCTTTGACGTGGGCAAAAATCTAAAGGCTAAGGCCAGCCATCCGGCCAGAGTTGTGGGGTACTCCCAAGACCTGGCTCCAGAACGGGGCTCCCAGTACCCAGAGGTTTTCTTCTTTGTAGGGGTCTGGCTCATCACCTAGGCCCAATGTGCCTTAACCTCCTAGGACCTGGCGTCCACATATGTGGACATCACATTTTAAGTTATTTAAACCAAAATGTTTAATTTTGCTCTACTAGGGCCTGATATCCACTTACGAAGACATTATACTGCTGCTGTTCTATCAAAATTTTAAACGAATATCCTTATATGTGGCTCTCATTTTTCTAAGAAACAAAAATCAGGTAAAAAAAAAAAATCTGGTAATCCTCTGTTTTTACATTCATCGGGTCCCAATCAGCCCAAATATCAAAGAGAAATCAAAAAAGCATGCCATGGAAGAGTTCAGGTCTTAGGAGGTTAAAAGACTCTACCGAGGGCATATTGCCCTTGAAAGCACTAGGAACTATTCTTCGAGGTTGCATCTCAACTTTATATATGTTGTGTTGGCATACAGAGCAATTTTGTCACTGTCCAAACATTTCCACATGCAACTGTCAATCTGTCACAGCCACCAAGGCAAATGTAATTTCTTTCTAGGATGCAAAAACTCTGAAGTGCTATACTGCTTCAGCAGAGGCAAACTGTTGGGACAAGTCTTCTATTCAGCTGGTAAAGACTACTCTAAACCCTCAAACTGAATAAGTCACATACTTTTATGCACTCTTAACCCCTAACAAGCCGCATACTTTTATACTTTTTGTTTTTTTATTTTATTTTAATATATCCACAAAGTGAGGTTTTAACTCACTGATGCATCTTTGAAGAGGCTATAAGCTGGCACTCTGAAATTACTGTCAAATAGGATAAAATGGCAAAGAAAGTCAAATCAGCATCAATGTGTGTAGTATCGATTTTTTTTTAAAGAAAAGCAAAACAACAACAAAATCCAACTGCAAATTGCAATATCTTGAAGCTGGTACTGACTAACATTATGAATGCCAGAATAAACTATGCAATTATCTTGCCTACTTCAAGAAAAATATTTCTTCATCTAAGTAAAGTGAAAAATGAGAAGAGGTATTCTCAGTGGAGAAAACCATTTAGAGCTTAAAGACTGAGATGAGAGCTCTTTAGAATGCCTGGGGCCATGACGGGCACTCTAAGGGTAATGATATAAAGACACATTTCCATTTGATTATAACACATTTAGAAGAACTTTTTCATTCAACTATGTTAACTTGATTTTGTCCAACAGGTCACATGGTGTAGCCTTCTGTTGTCATCCTTTGCTTTTCATCTTTCTGAATCAATTCTTGTCTTTTACCCGCTCTGCTTCATGCATTAAATGACCTTTACTTTTACTAAAATCACAGATAGTCACACGGATGCAACAATGGATGGACTGAAGATATTTGGGGGGAAAAGAAAAGTGGAAGACGTCAGTTCACCTACCACATTAAGTTTAAAGTTATTATAATCAATTATGATCAAAAATAGTTAAAAAATATCACATTTATATTTTTGATTAGACATAATAACTAACAAAAATACAATCATAAATTATAAGTTATTTCTTATTAGACACGTGTCCTGTGATTTCTATTTTTTAATGTGAAAAGCTATCTACCATTAACAGTGGCACTCAATTTAAAAATAAAGGCTGCATTTGTTATTTTATTTGTTATTTTTTTCCGCTCACAGCTGTGACAGACAGAAGGCTATGCTATTGATGGCAGATAATTTGTCAAGTTTATATTTGCGATACTTTGTCTGTGTTCTATAAAGACAAAAACATCAGTTGATTGAAAATAATTATACATTAATTATGTGTGTTTTGAAACTTTCTTTTTATTTTCCAGCTTTAGCACAGTTTGTTTTCTGGCACAACAGATGAAAACAAGTTTCTTTTATTGTTAGAATTAGTAATTAAAAAAACAAGTACCTAAACATGAGAATGGAGAATTGTAAAGCTTAGATGTCGTCACCCATAGATGTGACAGCTGGCTGCTAAAGGATGAAAAACAATCTTTTAATCTCAGAGTTTTTCTGGATTGGTTTTTCTTCATTAACGTTCTTGATATTCCTAACAGCAACATCCAGTAAGCAAAGCAGCAACATGACAACAAGATATTCCTGTGAGGTAACTACAGGAGTTGCAGTGACCTTATTTAATTGTATTTTAAGGCCCTGAAAGCAGCACACATTTTATCCACACAGACTTAAAAATGTAAAACATTTTTTGCTGTCAGCTGTTTATATACCTGATCTTATGAAATGACTCAAACATTAAACACTGGCCAGCTGCTGTGGGCCACCGTTTGCAAATGCATATGCATCAGTAAAGTTAGACCGATTTGGCTGCATCAGTGCTATGGAGCTGCTGCAGGGGTTGAATATATTAATCTGGGGAAACAAATTGGAGAGTTTCAGAAGCAGTTTCTGTTTTTAATAGATTTTTGTTCACTTTTGCCATCTCATTGGATACCTGGAGTTTAACCCTATTAAACCTC